TGGAAATCTTATCAAGATATTACCGTCAGAGAAAACTCGGCTCATCGAATTTTACTGAAAATTTGGTAGTCGCTACCTCTGCATTAGCTAGTAAACCTGTCAGGTAAAACCTGGAGGTCATCGACTATATGCATCCTAAAATATAAAATAACTGTTACAGTTAAACAGCTGTTAACAGGTCATTCGTCAGTTGCAAAATGTACAGCGAAAAAAACTGACATTTAAAATGACTGTTTCAATTATCCTTTTATATTTTGCAGTCATGAGTGATATATACAGACCACTGAAATTTCGAAGAAATGTGCAGGTTTTCGCGTCCCTCTCAATTGCACAATCATCAAACTTAGTATGCTGGCACGAAAGTAGCAGCTGGTTCTGATGTCAGTGATGAACCAGAGGATCAAAAGTCTTGAACATTTTGGAAATTACTATATTTGAGGTACTAATAAAAGAACATTAATCAAAGAAAACACTCAAACATTGACTGTTAATAACCACTAATGATGCAAAAGCGGTCATTGCATGGTGCTATTAACTGCCTATTTGCAGTTGGTTAAAAAATGCCACTTTTAGAAACTAAAACGTTCCTATTTATAATGTGTAAAAATGGTCAAAAGACAGACGGTATCAATCGTCCAAAAAATGCCATTTAATGCCTGTTTCTTTAGCTACTAACTAGCATTTGATAGACAATTAATTACACTGTTTCGAGTATCCATTCACTTGCACATTTTCTTTTAGAGACAAAAAGATATTCAAAAAAATTAAATTTCTTTCAGTTTTCGCCATGAGAATGCAAAATTCGAGTTTCTAGTTAGGTAATTTTTTGCATATGTTTCTGGAAGATCCTTACAAAAACTCATGAAAATTCATTTTCCCATTATCTCAAATATAGTAAAAAAAAGGATGATAGAAAAGTATATACTCGATAGTTCAATAGGAAGAGCAGAAAGAAAGAAATTCTTGCGGCGTGGGTTCGATTCCTGCTCGAGTCATTATACTTTTTTGTTTCTTTTTGTTTCTTACTCTTAAAAACTTTCCAAAAACTTTTTGGCTTCCCGACTGACAGTATCCCGAGCCAGTTTTGGTGGATACATATACAATCGACTATCCTCTATCCAATAATGTCGTTTTTATCGACTCTAGTCTTATTTAAAATTTTGACTTATCGGTGATATGTGAGTGAAAAGTAGTTATCTCAATTAACAATGAGCCGTATTTGTTCGTAAGAAATGTCGAAATAAGGCAGAATATTTAGTTTCGACTCACATATAATTTTATTCTTCATTGAAGAAGATTATGAAAGCATGTGCTTTTTATACAATAAAAAATTTGGTCCGATTAGCCATAGTCTTTTGAGTATTCCTACATAAGATTGAGAAGATTTTGATCAGCTCGGTACGCTGGAAAAACTGTTTCTTTATATAGATGTAAAAACTCCATGTATTTGTATGAGAGTATCGAAATTAGGAAGACAAATAAGTTGGGTGTCGAGATTAGGAAAGAAAAAAATTGGAGACACATGCTTATTCTGACACTATTATCTCAATTAATATAAGTGATAACTCAATTATTTTTACATAGATCGACAGGTTTGAATGTCAGCTAGGTCGCTATATAAAAATTTTTACTCAGCCTTAATAATTAGCTGAAAAAACTACGAAATACAAAAACTTAGTGTCGAAATTAGGGCGTGTGACTCTATATATTCGATTGAATCATCTTTACAGTTTCGTTTATACGATACACGTGTATTTTGTTCTATATCTATTTCATACGAAGAAACATGTTTCATATATAACGCATATATACTTTTCTAACATTTTGCAACATAAAAGAATTTATATACAGATACAGATTTATTTCTGTATATGGCTTATATGACCTACACGTGTGTGATTGAAGATATCTACGTTTTTCTTCACATTTTAAACAGTGTCTGTTATATAAGGCACTTTTTTATTAAAGCGATTGTTTACATCTAAACTAATTAATTAGATAATTTATTATTTCACTGTAAATCTTATTGATCTCTTTCTCTTTGTGTGAGATGAATAAACAACATCTTTGCTGATTCGATGCACTTCAGATACACACGATATATGCACTATTGAACTCTTTATTCTGGTTGCATTCTAATAATATACAAAAGTTTCTTTTTCTCAAGAAAACGAGATAACCCTTTCAAGATAAATACTGTCATGACAGTGCTGTATAAAAACCCTCTGAATCCTCTTCGGCAATCTTTTAGAAAAAAAGTTCGGTCGAAAAACATTAACAATTTTTTCCCATTCTGTTTTTCTTCATCTATACTTGAAATAACAAGAGAGAATCAGTATAGATCCGTAGCACAGTGGTTTAGTGCAAAGAAAGTGAATTTTTACGTCGCCGATTCGAATCCTGCACGGATTTTTTCCACAGAAATCGGAAGGACCCATTTGAGATAAATATGGCATACCACTAAATCGACCATGGGCTACACGATCCCGCAAAAATTTCTCTGGCAACCCCCTTGGAAAAAAGGCGCCAAATTTTGATATGAGACCGTCGAAAAATTTCAGCCGCCCACCCGAAAAACGAAACCTCGATAAAACACTGGAATTTATAAATCAAAGACAGGATTCTGCGCGAGTACACAGCAGTTTTGGCTCTCTAATGCCTCACGTAAACCCTCCTTGCATTTACTTGCCATAATGTTGAACTATTTTCGATCTGTTTTTAATAAGTTAATAAGAAGCTCTGAGACTTTCAGTCAAGAAATGTTCGATCTTGGATGAAGTTTCTATTCCTACGTGCTTCTCAATTATGGCTGGACATATAACCGACATTTGATCTCAAAATAAAAGTGAGAGCAGTTGATATTTTATAGTTCGTGTGTGAATATTACCAATAAGGTAACGTTTGCCACATGCGAAGAAAACATTCACGCTTGAACTTTCAGAGAATGTATACCCGTGGATATTATCGCTAAGATCAGTTCGTTATTAGAGCCAATTTAATATTCTGTGAATAGAAATCAACATAGATCTTTTTTTAATTCAGATTAGTAACCTGAGCTAATAAACATTTTGCGCTAAACGCTCACGTTGATAAGAGTTTCTTCTGCCATTAGCATTGCGTCAATATACTCGAATCTAAGTGCTTCTTCTGATAAGATTTCTTCGAAAGTTTAAGAAGAAAAAAAAGCTCTGGTTAATAAATGACGACGTCGGGAAATATATATTAAGCAGCTCTTAGATTCTAGTATATTGACACGATGCTAATGACAGTGAAAACTCTTATCAGTGTGCGTTTAGGATAAAATGTTTATTAGCTTAGGTTACTAATCTGAATTAAAAAACGATCTATGTTGATTTCTATTTAAAGAAAGAAAAAACCTGTATAATGCAGACAATTTCCAGCCATAAATCATAAAAAACGTTTATTCAATCCACACACACGTCGTGTTAATTGAAAGTGAACAACCGATCTAATTACAATGAAGCTCTATTACATTGTTCTTGGTCTTTGCCTGTTTGGTACAGGTCTGTGTTTGTTAGGCACAGAAGGTTCGGAACAACAACTGCTACAGCAGCATCCAGATCTTCGTGCAGCTCCTCCAAGTCGAGAACCAGCGATGTTCAATCCTAAACTTGTTGATATATTGCAAAATAAAATTAATGGTTTTCGAGCACCAGTTGCGGATAAAGCTGTACCAAGTAAATTCTGTAGCTGTTCATTCTAAAACTTCAGTGCTACTTATTTTCTGTTTTAGCAAATGCAAATGTAGCTGCCGACAGCTGTGAATGTTCATCTTGCGTGTGTACAAGCGCGGCTTGTGTATGCCAAAAATGTGTATGTGCAGAAAAGGTGTAAAAAACCTTTAAATTAAAGTGGAACGTGACTTTTAAACTACAGGGTTTAACTGCCTGTCAGACGATTAGTTTAAAACACTTAACATTTCTTTGTGTGGTATAACTTCTTGTAGTATTTCGTGTCCTTTTCAGTGTGTTGAGATAGCATAAACTAAAATGGCCGCTAGTTCTTCATTTCGCAAAAAAAATGTCCAGAAGTGTGAATGGACCGGCAATGAATTTCGTGTTAGCCAAATTATTATTCAAAATATCGAGTGGTTCTAACGATTAGACAGTTTTTAATGATGAGTCATACAGACATTAGATGCTTGCGCTTACCTTTCAGCGCATTATAATGCTTTTTGACTTTGCTTTCGTCCGTCTGGCCACCTCTCATCAGCAGGAATACATGTTGAACAACCAAACCCTCGATGTGTGGATTGGAGGTGCCTGCTTATTCGATGCCCACTGTTCGAAGATGGTACGAAGCTCTGTTTGAAGCTCTGGTACATTGTTTCGAAGCGCTGGGCATCAATATGCTGCCAGACGAACACGTATAATAGTATAAATCCAATCGCACGCAGTAAATCTAATTCAATTTAGACCAATATTTTTAGCGTGGGTCTATTGGCACTTCCGGGAGTGTCAACAAGGAGCTATTGGCATTCCCATGCAAAAAACTTTGCTGGAAGTCAATAAGGACGTCATCTGACATATGAGTGCCCGGCGTTTGAACGTTCCTCCAACTATTTTTGACTCGCAAGATTCGGATAGTATAGTCGCGTCGTCCCCAGCATCTCGCTCATTGGGGAAGGAGGAGGGTGGGTGGATAGCGAGAGTAAGTGAACAAGCTTAAAATCAAATAGGTGGAAATTGATATTGACAATCCTTGCGGGTGTCAGTAAGGAGTTCATCCGATATTTAAGCAACCCAATCTGCGGAGATCACTTATACAGTCTACCGCAATGTCAAACTTTTTTGAACTCGCCTGCTTGGTGAAACTATCGTTCGATTGAGTATTCAGCATGACCCTGAATACTGGAAAAGTTTCCTTATTACACATTTTTGTTATACCAATTTCATATATAACATTTTCAGGTTTTCACTCATTCTCGCTATCCACCAGTATTTAGCGTTTATTGAGTCACGATGTTAAATGACAGGGATGACAAAAAAGTTCTAAAGAGCTTTGACTAAGTCACACCGTATAGAAAAATAAGCAAAATTTCCAAAGAAGAAGTTAAAAACAAATATGGCTTATAAGACAGCGTTGTTATAACTTTAAATGTTTTCTTAAGGCACGTTTAAAGGCGAGAATGGAAAATTGAGAAATCGCCTTTTCGTTCGAAATTCATTCACCATTCGTTCTAAGAAGGAGTGATGACAGTGAACCCTATACCTTATCGTACATTATCGCATACCCTCCCTAAGCCTCCCTCACCACCCTCACCCACCCTGTGGATGACTCATCACAGAATAAATCCATATATACATACCCCGATCCACTTGATTATTTCGATTGGTGAACCATATGGACCAGCGAAAAGGAACTACATATCTGTCGATGACTCAGATGGGTTGAAAAAATGACTCATCAGAGAAGATAAGTCCATATATATGTGGAATTTTTTCGTTCGAAATTCACTCACCATTCCTTCTAAGAAGGAGTGATGACCTTAGCGAACACTATATCCTCACCATAAGTCCACCTGACCCGAACCTTGAGCAAGGTCGAAGCGCGTAGTGTAATATCGTTAAAGCACGATTCATTATAGTACTAAACTAAATTGAATTATGCGGCTGGAACACACAACTTATTCACCCTCACCTTCAGCCGTCCGTTATGCACAAATTCGGCTGTTAACAGCTAGATAATACGTTGTGAACGGACTATATCAATGCCCCTTCAACGCACCCCCGTTCCTAAACATGACCTCGGTGTATGATGACGGAATCGACACAGATCAAATCTCATTTACGACTGAGACCACATGTTTATCTTATCTTCCACACCCTGACGCACCCGTTATACGTGGACGACTCTATGGGTCGAAAAAATGACTCATCAGAGAATAAATCCATATACACATCCCCATCCACCTGATTATTTCGACCAGCGAAAAGAAACCACATATCTGTCGATGACTCAGATAGGTTGAAAAAATGACTCATCAGACAAAATAAGTCCTGATATATGTGGGATTTTTTCGTTCGAAATTCATTCATCATTCGTTCTAAGAAGGAGTGATGACAGTGAACACTATACCTTATCGTACATTATCTCCTACCTTCCCTCACCACTCTCACCCACCCTGTGGATGACTTCATGGGTCGAAAAAATGACTCATCAGAGAGTAAATCCATATATATATACCCCCATTCACTTGATTATTTCGATTGGTGAATCATATGGACCAGCGAAAAGAAACTATATATCTGTTGAAGAATCAGATGGGTTGAAAAAATGACTCATCAGAGAAAATAAGTCCAGATATATGTGGGATTTTCTCGCAAGAATCGTGCATGGTCGCGATAAGTTTCTGCCAGGGGCGTGCATAGCCGCGATAAGTTTTCCGCAAGGGTCGTACATAGCCGTGAAAAGTTTCTGCAAGAATCGTGCATATTCGCGATAAGCCCCCTCTCCCCACCCTCGTTCCTAAACATGACCTCGGTCTACGATGACGGAATGGACACAGATCAAATCTCGTTTACGACTGAGACCACATGTTTGCCTTATCTTCCATACCCTCCCTCACCCTCCATACCTCCATACCCTCCCTGCTTTCTCTTTTTTGTTTTCGTTCGAAATACATGTTTTTCTTTCCACTTTCTCTTTTCGTATTTTATCCTAGTGAAGGAACAGAAGGAGAAAAAGAATATCCGCCTATAGCTTGTATCGAGCACTGCTGTTATTCCATATAGTTCTTCAAAATTGCACAGATATAAAATATCATTTTTATTGAATCCGACAGAAAAAAGGAAGACTAATAATAAGAAACGCTATGATTACTTGTATAAAAATCATTTTTATGCTCTTGTAGAGTACAGAAAGTAGATTGTTGACTCCTTTTCGTAATAGGCAACGTCGTTACATCGGCAGCTTGAACTTTGTGACCAATTCTGAAAGAAAACTCTTTGACAAAAAGCGCATCGTCACTCTCTCCTCGATATGTATGAGTCGTCTTGCAAATCGGTTGTTCAATTGTTGACTTTTAGCTCTTTTTATTTAATTCATTTAACGCTTGTCAGAATGCATAGACAGAAAAATCAATAAAATTCACCCTCACCCTCACCATAAATACCCAAAATACCATGAAAACCGGAAATTACAGAAATTACATAAAGACCACAAATAACACAAAAAGAACAAATCACTGAAACATCACAAATTAAATAAATACCTAAAATACCATGAAAAGCGGAAATTACATAAACCACATAAATAGCACAAATTACATAAATACTAGAAATCACATAAATACCTAAAATAACATGAAAATCGTGAATTGCATATATACCACACGTTACATGTCAAGTTACATGTGTCGATCCTCAAAGTCCCAACTTTCTAGCTGTAGCGGGCCAAAAGCTGATAGTTTTCTAATGGAATAATTGAGTATGTCGAATATAGATCATTCTATCACAATTGGTGAACCGTTGAAAATATCCGATAGTTTCAGTCGCAAAGACTGCATAAATCGTCAGTTACATGTATATGAACACTTTGATTGGGATTTATTAACAAATATGAAGAATGTAAAAGCCAAAGCATTATTTGAAAATAATTTATTTGTTATAACTGAATTAAAAGGAATTACCAGAAGTGTGTTGATGACAAAATATAGTGTCAGTAGATAGAGTAGATCCTCTAACACTGTCGATTATGATTGATGAATCAAAAGCGGAAATCAATATATTGAATACAGAATCTAAAAATATTCATATTCTTAACTAATAACTCTACAGCCATTAAAAATATTACAGTTCTGCCAAAACTTTCTATGCTATGCGAACACAATATGATACTTTTTGAATTAAGTGATACTAATACTCTACCTTTAGATACAAACGACAAATTTATGATTATAAAAATACTGATTCGGAGGTTTTCCGACATAAACTATCACTTGCTGATTGGGCCAGCATTTTTAATGAGAAATTAGATTTATCAGATAAAGTTAAAGCACTACTCAGATAAAGTTAAAGCATAACTTTATCTTAAGAGTTGTAGAAGAATGTATTCCTCATAAAAGGATTTCAGTTTCTTCACGTGATTCACCATGGTTTAACAATGATCTAAAGCATCTACTTAAAATACGCGATAAGAAGTATCAGAAAGCAAAGAAAAACGATAAATACAGAAAACAGTATGAAGAGTTTGCTTGGGAATTCGAGAAACTCTGTGATACAGCTAAAAAACAATATTATGAGAAACAATCAACTGAATTGAATACATCATCTAAAAAGTGGTGGACATTTTTAAAGCATGCAGTAAATAAAGAGAGCCCTCTGACTATTCCTCCTCTGTTTGATGTAGCAATGAATAATTTGGTAACTACTCCATTTGAAAAATCTCAGGTCTTAAATAAGTACTTTGCTCACATATGTACGTTACCCCCGACTACTTGTTCTTTCCCACAACCTACATCTAGTACGATTGTTATGTCGGAATTTATGATTTATGAAACTGAAGTGTTTGAATCGTTGCTAAAAATAAATGTCTCCAAGGCTTGTGCGCCGGGTATTAGTGGGAGAATGCTTCGTGAGACAGCACCGATTATTACGTCATCCTTGACTCACATTTTTAATGATTCGTTGAAAAAAGGTGAATTTCCCGATGCTTGGAAACTAGGTTATGTTTGTCCTATTTATAAATCGGATGATAGACAACTACCTAATAATTATAGACCTATTACTCTCCTAAACTGTATGTCCAAAATTTTCGAAAGGCTCGTGTTTAAGCATGTGTACGGTTTTCTAAAGAACAATCAGTTTTTCAGCTCTAATCAGGCCGATTTTATGCTTCACCATTCAGCAGTAAATCAACTAATTCAAATTGTAGATAAAATAGCTAATGCGTTTAACAACAAAAAATCTGTCTTATCAATTTTTCTAGATTTCAGTAAAGCGTTTGATGGAGTACCACATGATGGTTTATTACTGAAACTGGAAAGTACTGGGTTATCTAAACAATTATTATTGTGGATGGAAAGCTATCTTAGCAATAGAAAAATTGTAACAGTTGTAGAAGGCTCGACATCAGATGAGTTACTGATATCCTGTGGTGTGCCACAAGGATCGGTTCTGGGTCCTTCGCTTTTTCTGATATATATTAATGATCTACCAAATGGTCTGGATAGTACAACTCTGCTCTATGCAGATGATGTATCACTGCATCAGGAAGTTTCAGATATTCAAAGAGACTTTATGATTATGAATGAGGATTTAGCTAAAGTTGAAGGTTGGTCTAATAAGTGGAAGCTTGACTTTAACAATAAAAAATGTGTATCAATGTTCTTCACGCGTTCTAATACAGTAACTACATTGCCCACTTTGAAGATTAAGTATCAATTGATAGAAAATGTTACTGAGCATAAACATTTAGGTT